ATTATGCTTTTCACTTGTACTTCCATGTTAAGTATTTTTTCATGTTTGTTGGCCATTTGTCTATCTTCTTTGGAAAAAAAAATCTGTTCGTGTCTTTTGCCCACTTTTTGATGTGATTTTTCTTACTGATTTGCTTGAGTTCTTTGTAGATTCTGGATATTAGCCCTCTGTCATATGTACAGTCTGCAAATATTTTCTCCCATTCTATATGTTTACTGTTATTTCCTTTGCCATGCAAGAACTTTTTAATTTACTTAAGTTGTATTCATTTATTTTTGTTGTTGCTGTATTTGCCTATAGGGTCTTAATCACAAATTCTGTCTAAGCTGGTGTCCACCAGAGCTTGTCTTGTTTTCTACTAGAATTTTTGTGGCTTCATGTCTTTCATTTAAGCTTATAATTCTTCTTTAGTTTTTGTATATGGTGAGAGGTAGAGGTCCAGTTCATTCTTCCACATGTTACTATCCAATTTTCCCAACATCATTTATTGAATAGGGCATCCTTTAGCCAGTGTAAATTTTTATCTGTCTTATTGAACATTAGTTGGCTACAGTTACATGGTTTTATTTCTGGGTTCTCTATTCAGTTCCACCTGTCTATGTGTCTACCTTTACACCAGTATCATGCTGTTTTGATTACTATGGCCTGGTACAGTGGTTCTCAACCTTCCTAATGCCATGGCCCTTTAATACATTTCCTGTGGGTCGCAACCCATAGGTTGAGAACCACTGGTAGAATAATTTGAAGTCAGGTAATGTGATACCTGAAGATTTTTTCTTTTTGCTTAGGATTGCTTTAGCTTTTTTCTGATTTCATATGAAATTTAGGATTGCTTTTTCTAGATCTATAAAAAAGTTATTGGTATTTTGGTGGGAATTACACTGAATCTGTAAGTCACTTTGAGCAGTATGACATTTTAACTATGTTGATTCTTCTAATTCATGAGCATGAGATGTTTTTCCATTGTTTGTTTCATCTCTGATGTCTTTCATCAGTGTTTTGTAGTTCTTCTTGTAGAGATCTTCCACCTTCTTGGCTAAGTGTATATTCCTAAGTATTTTATTTTCTTTGTAGCTACTGTAAACAGTACTGAGTTCCTGATTTGATTCTCATCTTGACTGTTGTTAATGTACAAAATTGCTACTGATTTGTGTACATTAATTTTGTAACTTGAGACTTTACTGATACAATTTATCAATTCTAGAAATCTTTCAGAGTAGTCTTTAGGGTTTTCTAGACAGAAGATCATATCATCAGAAAATAGGGATAATTTGAACTCCTCTTTGCGTTTAATTCCCATTATGTGGGGAATTACATGTATTGATTTCAATATGATGAACCATCTTTGTACCCCTGTAATGAAACCCACTTAATTGATTATCTTTTTGGTGTGGTATGGATTTGGTCTGTTTTGATGTGGTATGGTTTGTATCTATGTTCATGAGAGATATTGGTCTATAATTTTTTCTTGTGTATTTCCTGGTTTTGTTATCAGAGTGACTGACTTTATGAATGAGTAAGGGAAGATTCCTTCCCTCTTTCCAGATGTTTCCGTAGAATAGGTGTCAATTATACATTGTAGGTCTGGCAGAATTGGCTGTGAATCCATCTGATCCTGGAATTTATTGTTGTTACTGGGACATTTTTAAATTAAGGTTTCAATCTTACTACCTGTGATTGGTCTGTTCAAGGTTTCTATTTCTTCTTGATTCAAGTGTGGGTATTTGTGTGATTCCAAAAATATAATGCATTTTCTCTAGGTTTTCTTGTATGCATTAGTCTCAGATGACATTTTGTGTTTCTGTGATATCAGCTGTAATGTCTCCTTTTTCATTTCTGACTGGGCTTATTTGAATCCTTTCTCTTCTATTTCTGGTTAATTTAGTGAGTGGCCTATCAATTTAGTTTACCTTTTCAAAGAACCAACTTTTCATTTCCTTGATCCTCTGTATTGTTATTTTCATTTCAATTTCAGTTCTACTTTGATCTTTGTTATTTCTTTTCTCCTGCTGGCTTTGGGTTTGGCTTGTACTTCTTTTCTAGTGGAGGTATAGCATTAGGCTGTTAATTTGTTATCTTTTTGATGAAGGTGTTTAACAAAATCCCTCTTGAAGAGTACTACTCTTTCTGTATCCCAGAGATTTTGTAGCATGTGTTGCTTTTGTCATTCTATTCAAAATATCTTTTGATTTCCATTTTGATTTCATACTTGACCCAAGGATCATTTAGTAGTAAGTTGTTTAATTGCCATGTGTTTGTGTAGTTTTTGTTTGTTTGTTTTGTAGAGACAGTCTCACTTTATTGCCCTTGGTAGAATGCTGTAGTGTCACAACTCACAGCAACCTCCAGCTCCTGGGCCTAGGCAATCTCTTGTCTCAGCCTCCCGAGTAGCTGGGACTGCAGGCACCCACCACAACACTCGGCTATTTTTTCGTTGCAGTTCAGCAGGGGCCAGGTCCGAACCCGCCATACTTGGTATATGGGACCAGCGCCCTACTCACTGAGCCACCGGCACCGCCCAATGTTTGTGCAGTTTTCAGAGTTCCTCTTGGAATTGATTTCTAGTTTTCCACTATGGTCTGAGAATATACATGGTGTAACTTACTTTTTCTTTTTAATTTGCTGAAATTTGTTTTGTGGCCCAACATATAATCTCACTTAGAAAATGTTCCATGTGCTGATGAGAAGAATGTACGTTCTGTGTTTACTGCAGCTCAATTCACAATTGTCAAGATGTAGAAGAACCCAAGTGCCTATCAACCCATGAATGGATTAACAAACAGTAGTATGTGAAGAAGGATGAGCCATAAGAAAAGATGGAGGCTTTACACCTTTTGTGTTTACCTGGATGGAGTTGAAACACATTCTTCTTAGTAAAGTATCTCAAGAAAAAACGTATCCAATGTACTCAATACTAATATTAAACCAATGTATAAACAACTACATATTCACACATACAAAAAAACACAAGTGTAGTCTAGCAAGGGGTAAGAGAAAGGAGGAGGGAGGAGGAAGGGTGAATGGGAGGATCTCATCTAATGTGAATAAATGTGAGGGTATTCAGCACACCTTCTTGGTGAAGGGCTCAACTACAACTTTACCTTAGAATTGAAAATAATGTAACCTAAACATTTGTACCCTCATATTAATTGGAAACAAAATAAAAAGAATGCACATTTCACAGTTTGGGGGTACAATGTTCTGCAAATGTCTGTTAGGTCCATTTGTTCTAGAGTCCTGGTTAGGTCCAGTGTTTCTTTGTTGATTTTCTGCCTCAATGTTCTGTCTAGTTCTGATGATGGAGTGTTGGAAGTTCCTAGGAATTATGATTTTGCTGTTTGTTTCTTTCCTTAAGTCTAGTAGTGATTGTTTTAGAATTTGGGAGCTCTTATGCTGGGTGCACATATATTTAGGAGTGTCTTATCTTCTTGGTGAGTTACTCCCTTTATCATTATATAATGAACATCTTTGTCTTTTTTTTTCTTACCATTGTTGTTTTAAAGTCTATTCTTTCTGATGTAAGAATAGCTACTCTTACTCACTTGGTTTCTACTTGTGTGGAATATTTTTCCATCCATTTACCTCAAGCCCAGAGAGTCATTATGAGTTAAGTGAGTCTCCTGAAGATAACCTATATTTGGTTTTGTTGTTGATGTTGTTGTTTTAGTCATTCTGCCAACTGACATCTTTTAAATGAGGAGTTTAGACCATTTACATTCAATGTTAATACTGACATGTAAGATACTATACCAGTCATCAAGCTGACTGCTATCTAGTTGCTTTGTTTTCTCCATTGTGCTACTGTTCTATAAGAACTACTGAGATTTTACTTTTGGTTAGTTTATGTAGTGGATATCAACTGTTCTGTTCAATGGATACAGCACTTTTAAGTATTTTTTTGTAAGGCAGATCTAGTGGCGACAAATTCCCTTAGTGTCTGCTTATCTGAGAAAGACTATTTCTTCTTCATTTATGAAGCTCAGTTTTATAGGATTCAAAATTCTTGGCTGAAAGTTTGTTTAAGAAGGCTAAAGACAGGACCCCTTTCCCTTCTAGCTTGTAAGGTTTTCTCTGAGACATCGGCCATTAATCAAGTAACTTTGTAAGTTACTTGATGCTTTCATCTCATTGTAGTATTTTCTCCTTCACTTTGGCTTTGGCCATGCTGATGACTGTATCCTGAGATGTCCTATTAGGAATAAATCTTCTAGGAGTTCAATGCCCTTCTCCTATCTGGATGTCTAGATCTCTAGCAAGACCAGTTTTTCTCCATTAATATTTCAAGTAGGTTTTCCACATTTCTTGCTTTTTTTTTTTTTTTTTTTTTTCATTCTCTCTCAGGGATACCTATAATTCTTATGTTTGGGCATAGTACATAGTACCATAATTCTAAATGACTTTGTTCAATCTTCCTGATTAATTTTTGGCTAATTGGATTAATTTGACAGCCTTGTCTTCAAGCTCTGAAATTCTACCTTTTGGTTGGTCTAGTCCAGCGGTTCTCAATCTGTGGGCTGCGATCCCTTTTTAACAATGAAAATACATTGCAGTATTAAGAAGGTTGAGAACCACTGGCCTAGTCTGTTGTCAAAACCTTCCCCTATATTTTGAAGTGCCCTAACTGACTCTTACATTGCCAGAAGTTCTGTAACATTTTTTCTTAAATTGTCTCTTCAGTGAATACTTCTTTGATGTCCTAATTTTTTTTTCTGTTTCTTTGTGTTGGTTTTTAATTTTGTCATCAATCCCATTGAGCTTCCTTGTGATCAATGTTCTGAATTCCTTATCTGTCAATTCAGAAGATTCCTTTTGTTGAGATTTGGGTTGGGGGGCCAGTGTGCCCCATGGGGGGAGTGTCAAAGGAGTCTTTTTCCCCACATTGCCAGCATTCTTATGCTGATACCTTCTCATCTGGAATCTTATCTCTTCCCTCAGGCTTTGTGGCACACCTATCATCCTATGCAGGCATGTTGCCAGTAAAGAGAGGAACAGGTCCCTCGATGGCATGTTTGAGTCCTACTCTAAAAGGCTTACCAGGCAGAAGGGTGTATACACTGAAAGCCTGTAATGCAGCTGTTCCCCTGCATCATTCCGTTTCTCTGTGGTTACCACAGTCCAAGCTGGTCCTGGGGGATATTCATGCAGAGTGGTCAGTTGGTTCCCAGGCCACTCCTGGAAGCTCAGGTGGGAGGTAAGTCATGCCTCTCTTCACAGACACAGATGGCATTAGAGTTTGTTCTGCCCAAGTCTCCCCATGGTAGAGGCAATGGTGGCTGGGTAAGGCTATTTAATCAGCAGCCATGGGTACCAGAGCTTGAGTGTTGACTCTGCCCAGGTCCGGGGGCAGTGGTGACAGACGATGAAAGGTGGCATGTAGTGGGCAGGCCATGGCAGTGGTCGGCATGTGAGGTTATAGGGCTACAGTGACAAGGAAACACGTGGCAAATAGGGCAATGGCAGCACCATGGTGATGAGTAGGGCTGCTGAGGCACACAGCACATGGTTGGCACAGCAGCAGAGATGTGTGGTGGATAAGTCATAAAAGCAGAGGTTTTTGCTTCATTTAAGTCTGGTGGTAACAGCATCAGTGGCACCATCTAGCTGGTAGCAGCACTATACAGATGGCTGCAATGGACTATAGGCACCTGTTCTGTACGAATTTCTTGTGGCAGAGGTGCTGCACAGTGTCCAGTCATGGGGTTCATGAGACTGCCTGGCCTCTCCACTCTCTCCCTGGCCTGGCAGGGGTGACGTGGAGGTGGCTGCAGTAGAGCCAAACCATGTGTAGATAGGGTACTCTCAGCCAAGAGCTCAGAATGGCATAAGCTGCAGCAACCCAGGATCAGAAGCCACTGAAACACTACAGTGTTGCTGCACTCTTCATGCAGCTCCCTGATCATTCCAGAGACCAGCAGTGGTGGGGAGGCACCCTTGCAGCTTGGGTCACAGTGTCCGTGGGGGGAGTGTGGAGCCCCCAGGTTCTCTCTTCTGTTCTTTTCCCACATGCAGGCACTTTCCCCTAGGTGCCTCCAATACTGCCAAGTGATTCATGCTTTCTTCTCCTTCACTGTGGGTGTCTCCAGTTGCTTCTCTGACGATTCACAATGCTCTCTCTAAGAGGATCCATCCCGAGGTGAACATCTATCTGCAACTTGCAATACTTCCCATGATAGCAGTGTGTGTAGGCTGTTTCTAGTCTACCAGCTTAGCCTCTGCTTGCTGACTTTCTGGAGAGCCAAAGAACATCTCCTTAGTTTGAGAGTGTTTTAAGGAAGTTAGCCATGGCTTTAACAGAAAAACACCCTGGAAAGCTTCACCAGAGAGGTCTTCTCCACCACAACATTGTTCTTGCTCATTTCTCTCATCAAACAAGGGCAAGTTGAAAGAGTTTCAATGAAAAATCATAAGGCATCCACCTGACTCTGACTTCTTTTTTTTCCTAATTTAAAAAAATCTTTAAATGGTACCCATTTTTCTTCAATTAATAATGTAAGAAAGACTACAGTGACATAACTAAAGTCCCAGGACCCTCAGTTCTTTAAGGATGGACTAAATGTCTGGTATTATCACTTACAAAAGTATCTTCAGAAATAAAGTTTCTAATTTTTAGTTTTATTTTTAAATTCCTTTTTTCATGAACTTCTAAAAGTCCCCAAATATTTTTTCAGTTTCTTATAAAATTAAATACACCTTTTCTACAACCCAACAATTCTACTCCTACATGTTTCCCCAAAAGAAATAAAAATGTAAATCCAAAAAGACTTTTATAAAAAGGTTCATAAAAGCTTTATTCCTAACAGCAACAAACTGAGAACAACTCAATGTTCATCAATAGGAGGACCGATGAACAAATTTTGGTATATTTATACATATTATTCACAAAAGTATATAAATTATTTATACAAATAAAATAAATGCATCTCACAGACAAGGTAAAGGAAGCAATTAGGAAAAATATGTTGCTTGATTTTCCACTTATATGAAATTGTAAAACAGGCAAATCTAATCTATAGTAATAGAAATAAGAGTAATTGCCTGGAAGGTTGGGGGATGCTGATTAAACAAAGGCAGAAAGGAACTTTCCGAGGTAATGATGGAACTGTTCTTTGCCTTAATTTGGGATGCTATACCTTTTTATTAAAACTCATTGAATTATATTTAAAAAAAACCTGCACATTTCCCTGTATGTAAATGTTACTAATCTCAGTTTAAAACAACTACCATCAACTTTTATTTGATATATCAACACCTATAATTTAAATGTCTGATTTTCGATAATGTTTGTTGTTGTTGTTGCTTGCAATCACAGTTCACTGTAGCCTTGAATTCTTAAGCTCTAAATATTCTCCTGCCTTAGCCTCCAGAGTAACTGGGATTATAGCAAGCAGCACCATGCCCAGCTTAAATGCCCAGTTCTTATGTGATCATTGGATGCCTGCATACTAAAGGAGTGAAAAACCATAATGTAAAGCTGAATATTGAATATACACTCAATTGTCTAAATATACATGTAATACAGATATATAGATTTTTACCCGTTTTATAGGAGGGAGGATACTATGCTTAGAGGCACTTAATTAATTAAAACTACTTTTTTGAACACTGTTCAAAATTTACAGAGAAAAACACCTATGTGTTATGTAAACAACAAAAATTATATACTATTGACTCCTTGCATAAATAGTCATCAAAAGCCAAATCCTTCTAAATGTACATCACCCATTCACATTTTAATAATAATAAAAAAAAATCTCAAAGCCAGAAATATCCTCCTCATGTGTTGGTCACACAGAGTTAGTCACCTATCAAGCCCAGTCAGACTGCTGTGCTACACAAATTCAGGGCACACCTGTTACATTCTAATCCATGTGAATGGTGTCCTTTGGATTTGTACACAGCCTGTGCAGCCAGCCACTCAGTGGCCCTGAACTCAGTTGTTGCACATGGAAAATCATACTGAAGCAATAACTGGTATGACTATATATAAGCAACATAAATCAGCTTGAAAAGTTAAATTACCCATGGTCAATATAACTAATAATAACAATTTCTTCATACTCCACATAACTGTGGTAGTTACGTACTGTCAAATTAGGTAGGCTGTGACTATGTTTTCCCAAACTCCCTTCCCTCTGTGGTTCCGAGTTATCATTTGCCATAGGTGAAACATGAGATATGAAATCTAAAATGCTATACTCCAAGTTAAGTGTTTTTGTTAATCACACTGTGACTTAAATACAAATACAGAGTCACAGCCCCTCAAACTACTTCTAAGACTCAGAGTCCCTTGAAGAAAGGAGAGGCTAGGTGTGCTTGAAGAAGGACGCTGCTATATATCCAAATATGTACACTACAAGTCTCCCCTTCCCACAAAGAGAACTGTAGAAATTTACTACAGTGATTATGCACTGGATGTTTTTCATCCACATCTTCAAACTTTCTCCAAGCTAAAGATTCCCAAAGATCCAAAACTCCATTGTGTTCCACCAATCAGAGCAGGAGCTTATGGAAATCTGATCAAAAACTTCTAAACCAAGTCCAATCACGGTATACTGGGTCCCCAAACCCATCCTGTGGTAACTTCCACAGTTCTAAAACACACACCTGAATACACACACCCAGCATCTGCCAGAACGTACATATTCATTCCCTGGCTTGTGAATGGGGAGAGGGCAAGTGGAAGCCATTCAACCGCTTGGGCTTACTAAAATAGTACTGCTTCCTGGAAGGATGGGAGAGATTGGTGCCACCATAAAGAAATTAGAAGACGCAGGAATGAAGACTACATCTTCATTCAACTCTCCCACTTGGCCTGTGCAGAAGACAGATGAATCTTGTAAAATGACCAGAAGTTATCAAAACATAATTAGTTAAAAAAAAAAAAAACATAATTAGTTGGCAATGCCAATTACAGCTGTTATTCTTCATGTGGTTTCCCTACTGGATCAAATCAGCACACCACCTGGCACCTGGTATGACTCTATTGAACTGGTGAATGCTTTTTTTCTCTATACTTGTTACTAAAGAATATCTGAAGCTTTCAAACTCAGTACTATAGACATCTGGGGCCATATAATTCTTTGTTGTAGAAAACTATCTTGTGTATTATAGGATGTTTAGCAGCAGCATCTCTGGCTTATACTTACCAGATGCCAGTAGTACCTCAACCCTCACTTGTGACAACCAAAAATGTCTCCAAACACTGGCAAATGTCCTCTTGGTAGGCAAAATTTCCCCCAAATGAGAACCACTGATCTAGTACATAGGGATCTTTATCACCTTTTCTTCCACAAAACCACATATTGGTCCACTGTGTTGACAATATGCTGACTAAATCTCCTCGGCAGGAAGGAACAAGGTCTCTACTCTACAGAGAAATAAGCATGCCAGAGGGTGAGAAATACGAGTATATCCCATAAAAATCAGGGGCCTGCTTCCTCAGTGAAATTCCTAGGAGTCCCAGGGGCTAAAAATATTCACTGCACCTGAGCCCTTCAAGTCTTAAAAAGAACACCATGTATGCTGATTTTGAAGATAACATATACTTAATTAGCATTACAATTCAAAAGCCTGCTAGTTGTGAAAGGGACCCAGAACAATAGGAGTCTGTAACAGGCCTAGGCTGTCATGCAAGCAGCTCTGCCATTTGAACCCAGAAGAGTTGGTGCTTGAAGCTAAGTATCTGTAGCAGACAGAAATCCAGTATTGAGCTTTCGATGGGCCCCTTATAAAGTAAACTACAATTTAGATTTCCAGGATTTTGAAGTAAAATATGCCATTCTTTGTAGGTAACTCTTTTCTCTTTGGGGGAAGCAGCTACTGGCTTGCTATTCAGCCCTAGGAGAGCCTCAAGAGTTGCCCAAAGGCTACCAAGTTGCCATTCAACCTAAGCTTTCCATTTTGACCTGGGCACTATCTGACTCATCAAGCCAAAAAGTCGGGCATACCAGCAACATTTCATTATCAAATGGAAGTGATATAATAATATGTTAGATAAGGTTTGAGCAACTCCTAAAGGCATAAGATGTCCCAACCTCTATAAATCCACACCTGTAGCCTCATGAGGAGTACCCTATAACCAAATGATCAGGGAAGAAGGAAATTCAAGCCCGGTTATAGCAGCTTCTGCACAGTATGCTGCTACCACACAAAAATGGACAGGTGCAGTAATACAGTACCACTCTGGGGTGG